TTTGAGAGTTGACTGCAAAGTGACATACACAGAGCGAATACAAAGTAATACAGGCTGATATAAATTCAGTGTAAAATAAATGTTTGTAACTATAAATGAGTGTGTATATTACCGATTGTTATTGCACAAAATACATTTATTGGTATACTGTGCACTCTAGAATAAGATACATGGCTTTTTTAAACTTATGGTCGTTTATTTTTTACGAGTACGAATATTACTGATTCCTTGGCAATCGCAAATTGTGCAATTTCACCTCTGTTGGGATTTAAAAATGAAGGTCACATCGTCTACATACGTGTCTGAATTGAAGGAATGCAAGTCTAGCCAAGATCAATATGGGCATCTGAATTCCATCTAGAATTTGAATTGAATAATTTTACTTCAAACTTATTGAAATCGTATCTTGGAGAAACCAGGTGGCGGGTAAGATAGTTCACAGACGTGCAAAACCAAATATGTACGTACATTATATCTGTAGGTTTCGATAAATGCATGTATTCTGATGTGGAATCGTAAGCATTACAGTCATTTAAATGATAATTGCATTAAATGTAAAGAAGTAACATTTGCTTACCTACTTCACTTACAATCTGGAACTTTCTTTCTTAAATTAATTAATATTCGATAAGTCAGTTCATAAATGAAAAATTATTTGAAACATTACTCAAAAATAATAAGTGGATTATCGCACCTTTTAATTTCTAATTAGGTAAATATCATCAACATAAGGTCGTCAGTCTCAATACTGGTTGGACACGTACCTCCGCTCTTTCCTATCCTGAGCTAAACATAATCTAATCTAGGTCTACCTCTACCCCTCCTAACTCCTGTTTCTGCCTCTAATATGTCTCTGACTAGACCTCCATGCCTGAGAAGGTGTCCTACCAACCTATCTCGCCAATTTCTTATTGACTTCCATAGAGTCCTCCGTTCTCCTAATCTTTCTAATACCTCTTCATTTCTAACTTTTCCTACCCAAGTTATCCTCATCATTCGCCTATAATACCACATTTCGAACGCTTCTAATCTTTTGTTTTCCGCCGCGCCCACTGTCTATGTTTCGCAGCCGTACAACACCGCGCTCCAAACACACCTTTAGCAACCATTTTCGAATTTCTAAATTAACCATTCGCGAGCATATAAGTGACTTCTTTTTATTAAAGGCGACACGACCCTGCGCTATCCTCTGCTTTATAATCCCCACTACTCCTTCCGTCCTGACTGATCTGACTTCGTACATACCTAAAATCAGCCACTTCTTCTAATATTTCGTCTCTTATCTTTACATTCGCTCTTTCCCTACCTTTTTACCCTTGCATCCCAGTATTTTTGTTTTACTTTTATATATTTTCATTCAGTACTGTTTTGTCAGCACCGCTTCCATTTTATTTATAGCTATGTCTAAGTCCTCCATGCTAGATGCTAATACTGCTATATCATCTGTAAATCTAAGTATACTAATCTTTTGCCCCTGTATATCTATCCCTACAGTTGCACTGTCTTTAATGATGTTAATCGCGTCTTCGATGTACAGATTAAAAAGTAGCGGTGAGTATAGGGCTTTCATAATCCGTTTTATTTATGCATAACTAAATTTTGTGTACTCCAAAAATATATGTCTAATAGTAGCCAAGAAAACATTAGCTAATGATTTCTATGTCACATCCATTCACTAGACTTCACAACTTATCATTTTAATTTAGAGATTTAAGGGCCTCATTTATTTATCTCTACAGTTACAAATTGAAGGGAAAATAAACACATGGAGATAGCTTTATAATTTTAGCAAATGCGAAATGGAAACTATAACACGTTCAATGCTGTCGTCGATTATAATTTTCTGTTTAAAGCAGCAAAGTTATACGTAACATTTGCCGTTTCCCGCACCTGTCTAAAACATTAGTTTTCACATGTTTGTCCCCAAGGCATTTTCTAGAAGAGCGGAGTAAGTGGGATGTGCTGTGCAATATGCTATAAATGATTGTTTTTCATCATATTATAATAGCTCAACAAAACCAAATTAATACGTTTATAGATTGTAGGAAAATTAATAAGAGGTCTATGGTCTATGGAACATAACGTGGTAAATCTTTCAACAAAACAGTATTGTGCGTTCAAATTAACATTTGCAGATTCAATGTATAAGAGAACATGTTTTTTTTTTTAACTACAATGTTAAATTGGTTCTCGGGTTAGGGTTCTGTACGTCCGAATGAGAAACGCAACCCTTGTAGATCACTTATGCTTAGATATGCAGATGATATAGCAGTATTAGCAGGAGTTAGAGTTAGTTTTGAATAAAATGAAAGTGGTACTGACAAAACAGTATGTAGGAAGTTATATCAGTCAGGACAGAAGGAGTAGTAGGGATATAAAGCAGAGGATTGCGCAGGGTCGAGTCACCTTCGATAAAAAGAAGTCACTTCTATGCTCGCGAACGGTTAATTTAGAAATTCGAGAAAGGTTGTTAAAGGTGTATGTTTGGATCGCGGGGTTGTACGAGTGCGAAACATGGACAGTGGGCGTGGCCGAAAAGAAAAGGTTAGAAGCGTTCGAAATGTGGTGTTACAGACGAATGATGAGGATACCGTGGATAGAGAAGGTTAGAAATGAAGAAGTATTGGAAAGAATAGGAAAACAGAGGACTCTATGGAAGTCAATAAAAAATAGGCCAGATAGGTTAGTAGGATACTTTCTCAGGCATGAAGGTCTAGTCAAAGACATAGTAGAGGCAGAAACGGGAGTTAGAAGGGGTAGAGGAAGGCCTAGATTAGATTACTGTTCGCAAATGGTTTATGATAAGGGCTGTTCTACTTTTAAGGAAATGCGAAGATTAGCTCAGGATAGGAAAGAGTGGAGGTGCGTGTCCAACCAGTCTTAGAACTGACGACCTTATAATGATGATGGACATCAACTGAATTCTGAACTAATGATTAATTGAAAACATAAGGACAATGCTATGCTATGCTCACATTTAGTTTATAAGGGTGTTTGCAAGACGATAAAGGAAAAGGGTGCAAGTCTCTCAAATAAGAAAATGTTCAATTCTTTCAACATTTAGTACGCATACACAGCATGCGGAAATTTATTCCGAAAAACTTCTGGCCAACTGAATAGATCACGTCTTCTTTACTTTCATAATTTACCTTTTCATACGTCATGTTGTCTAAACCACATAAGCCCCAACCGACGAATGTTCAGAAAATGAGACTACCATTTATAAACCTATACACATCATAAGTACGTATGAAAGAACTTTACACTGGTTTTCATTGATGCGAAAATCATTTTGTATGTAACGGGGATTTTGTCCTGTTTCCTGAGTGTACCGAAAACCCTCATTTTAATCTCCACTGACCTGAAAACTTTTGAAACGACTACGCTTTATACAACTTCGGAATTTCTATTTCACGATCTCCGTTATAAATCAAATCGAACTAAAACCTGTCGAGCGATAAAAACAGAATGTTGACGTACATAAAATGTAAAGGCCTGGAAAATCTTCAGGCTCTTTAACATTGCACATGTATCATTCTCTAATTCCGATAAATGTGCCGTTCTTTTATACACAAGTCGATGTCCAAAGTTAATGTGCTTCTTCAGTAATGAAGCAAAGTCTTTAAGAAGTCATTTATTAGGGATTTACAAATTGTTGGCACTTAGGAGACTGCTGCAAGATGAAATGGAGCGAAGCAGTATGTACTATAACACGTAACGAATTGTCCGACCGGTCACTCGCCTAGCTAACGCCGCTAGCTCCCTTGTAATATTAAATAATTTTTCCTTGATGGTATGTTCGAATTCTGATTTTATTTTTTTTTTGACTGTAGACAGTCTTAAGATGGTCATTTTAGCGCCAAAATGGAAAATTTGTAAGTGATTGTTCTTGAGAAACCAGATAAAAAAAAATTCTAGTGATTATTCCTCCGTGGTCCGATGTTCGATTTTAATTTTTTTTTTTTACAAACTTGCTCTTGACTGCGTATGAACATTGTGCCAAATTTGAACAACATCGGTAAAGTCGTTTAAGAGAAGAAGCGTTTTCAATCGGGGAAGAATAGAGTTTCACGGAGAAAACTAAATTTTTGTGACTATGCAAAAATTTTTCGAATGTAAATGACTAAATTTGCCGTAGAAATAGTAGAATTTATTAGCTAACTTGTATTAATCTCAATTTTGACAGGTTTCTTTAAAAATTATTTCAAGTTTCTTAATTATTACAATTAAATTTGTAATATCAGCTAAAATACCTGGTCAATTTATTTCTGCTGGGATTTTATTTTTACAAATTCGGGTCCAAATTGTAATTTTTATTATTTTCGCTTACGAAGCAATGGGTTAGTGGGATAAATTGTAAATATCACTTTAATGTTTTGGTAAATTTTTCTTTTTCATTGTCTTCGCGTTCGCTCGCCTTCGGCTCGCTTCACCCCATTTATCTAATTCACTCTGGATTAGATAGAATGATACTGGGGCACGTATTTCTAAAATATACTTTGGTGCAGGCCAAACCAGGCCCATCAGTCCATTCAAGTTAATGATACCCTACCTCAGGGACTCCCTACAACCTAGTAACTGCGGCGAGCGTTATATGTATAAACGGGTGGGGCAACAACAATGCAAAATTAAATTCCAAATGATGGACAACTGGTCATCGTTTAAAAAATGCACTTGCCATTGAAATGACCTTTGAGATTGCATTTCTACCATATCAGTAGTATCGGAAGATGTAACTGTTTGAATATCCTCCAAAAGTTATTCACTAGACAGGTTCGAAATTATACAATATTTTAATCCGTAGCCCAGAAACTTTTTATTTTTTGACTTTATGCCCGTGAGAACTTTTGATTAGAGATTTTATAAAGAACATCATACTCAAGTTGCAGCCAATTTGACTTGCACTGATTTTCTACAAGGAGTCGTTTAAGAGCTTGAACTTTTTTCGTTTCTATATAAAGTTAAATGTGTTTTTAAGAATATTAATTTTTTCTTTGCAGTTGATAACACTTCTCAATTTGATGCAGTACGAGCGTTCTTGAAAGAATTGGATATCACTAATAATGTATGGATTGGACTATCCAGGAATTCCGATAAAGCTCAGTTTGCATGGTCGTAAGTAAATATATATATACTCTTATACCGCTATTAATACAAAAAATTACAATTAAAGAAAAACACAAAACACTCAGTTTGTATAAAATAATGTCTCGTCTCATTATACCCTCTATAATCGAAATTTTACCTCTTTTACGTATCAATATTTTACGTGTATGCCGAGTTTTCGAATAAATTGATAAAAATTTCTTTTGGTTTGTTTTCCTTTGTAATACAATACAGTTTATTTATTGCCAAAAATAGATAATTTTGAATTTTTGTCACATAATTACTAAATTCTTTTAATATGAATAATAATTAATTAGGTGTACTAACATCTAGCAAATTGCTGTACCTTTGAAAATTTTTTATAATAACGAGGAGATCATAGACAAGAATCAAAAGTCAACTTTTGCAGAAATCGTGAGATGCTACTTTTTCCGCGAACATTACTTCAGTTTTGAGATCTCTGCTATTTAAAATAGACAAAAACAATCGATTATTCATATTTAATTATCATAAAATATAATTTCATTCTTACGTAGTGTTATAGGAAATCTGCCGGTAGGACACCTTCTCAGGCANCTTCTAACTAAAGCACCTAAGCATATACACTTTCCCTGTTCATATTTAGGATACAACTGTTCATTTACAAAGAATTCATCCGTAAATAGCTAAATGGGCTGTGAAACAATCCAAAACCATGTTAAGTAGTGTTTACATTGTAGGAAATTTTCCATAATAAAAAATTTAAAGAGTTTTCAGCGTATATGTTATTATTATTATGTACATACTTGTTGCAGGCCATAGGCCTATTACAAGATACTTACTGGCTATCTTATTTTAATGATCTCAACCTAATCTAACGTAACATCGCTATTCGCTTAACATAAATGACCTCAGTTTCACACAGTTTTGTACAAAATATACTAATTTGCACGCTTCATCATTATTTTTTATTCTTAGCACCTCAATAATTGTGTTTCCTTTGATATATTTTTCTCTAAACTCTTTATATGCCGGGCATTTGCATACTATGTGCTCTAGTGTTTCATTTTCGTATATCAACTAAAATATCTAGTATCTAATATCTTTTAAAAATTCGGGTTCAAATTGTAATTTTTATTATTTAAGCTTAGTGTGGGAAAATAGTAAATATCGCTTAAATATTTAGGTAATTTTTCCTTTTCCATTTTCTCCGTGCACTTCAAAAAAGAACAAATATTACGAAACAAATATTTTAACAGATGTTAAATAAAATAAAAAAAAATAACAACAAAGACTTTATAACAAACAATAGACTTTTAAACTTCAAAGCTAGACCATGTACAGTAACGCTTCTTAAGAAAGTCCAGCAGAGCCCTTAAGAGATTTAATCAAAACTTACACATTGTAGAAGTTTGTGAAAACATTGAGTAAAACTTTCTAAATTTAATTGTTTCCGAGCTGCACCTAATTACGAAGTCTGCTGGAAATCCGAGTTGCAGTATTTAATTTCTTAAGTAACTTCAATAATAAACGATGAAATTAAATTTTTATCTACTTTTAAGGAATTGAAGAACAAATCGTATTTCTAATGTTTCTAATTTCAAGAATAATTTTTTCAATTGTTCTTTCTTAAACATACCTATTGGCTTTTGACTCGTTATATTTGTTCTAAAAACATAAAATTATCTAACGAAAACTAGATTAGACTACTGTTAAGTGGTATTTGTTTATAAAAATATTTTAACAATTTAATTTTAATTTTTACTAATAACCTAACCTAACCTAACCAAATGATTATTGATAATGCTATTCACTATTGTTTTGTAAATCTATTTGCATCTATCAGTTTGATTGAAGGAAAACGATGATAGATAAATTATTTCCTTCTATAACACAGCTGCTCTGTGTAATCACTTCATAATTAATCCATTTTAATTAGCATCACCACGACGCATACCAGATTTATAGGTCTTATAATTACCTTCCCTTAACATGCTTAATCTCATGGAAAGTAATTTGATGAAGTTGATAATTTATTATCTAAGAAAAAATAACTACCTACTAAAGTAATACTTGAACATTTAGAAGGGGTGTTGCAGAAAACAGAAAGTGAAAAAGAAGGATAATTAAGCCAGAGAATTTGTTAAGGATTTTATAAAAATGCAAGAAAAATGTTTGAGTGTAGAAGGTTTTTGTTACTACTGTTAAGTTGTCTTAGCTTATGTTGTATTTTAAGAAGCTTTTGTTTTTCACGAACCATTCGTGATCGTATTGTAAACGAAAGTTTATTTTAAAAAATAAAATGTTAAGAATTTCTAGAATAAGAATAATTTTTTAATCTAATATATCGAAACGCAATTATAAAAGGACAGAATTATGAATACAGATATAGGTAAGCGCTTAGATCCGCAGATATGATGGCAGTGTTATTAGAATCTAGCAAGGAGTAGTTAGAAATAACAAAGAAGTCTAGAAATAGGAGCAGTAATTAAATTCGAAGCGAAATTCGATAATTAGTCAGAAAGGAAGGAGCGGCAGAGATATACATATAACAATGGATAGAGCAAGCTTGAGTTGTTTTCAACGAAAAGAAATCACTTTTATGCTCGCGAAATGTAAATTTATAAACTGGAAAAGATTGTTAAAGTTGTATAAATGTTTGGAGCATGGCACTGTATGGGTGCGAAACGTAGACGCTGGACGCTGTGGAAAAGAAAAGGATAGAAGGATAGATTGTTTTAAATGCGGAATTGAAGCAGAATAACGGAAATGTTTGGAAAGAAATGGTTAGGAATGAAGAGATAATAATAATAGAAAGAACAGAAAAATAAAGTGCGCTATGGAAATCGATAAGGAAAAGAAGAGACAGAATTATAGGGTGCCTTCTGAGAGATGAAGGGGGTAGTTAGAGATTATTACACAACTTTGTTCCCATGTGTTCGTACACGAAATAATTGTTTATTTTATATGCTAACAAGGACAAATACATTACAATTTTCTCTCCTAACCGTCATTTTCACAAAATACCATCTTCATCAAAATCAGCTTTATATTGTAAGCTAGAAAAAGGAAATCTATTTTTACAAATTTTTTAATTTTCTGTAAGATTACCCTTTTGTAATTATTTTCGTAAATATTTTTGTTGTTTACTGGTATGTAATTGGATCTTTATCTGTATTGACTGTAAATAAATATTAGATTACATCACTGGTCAGAGATATAGTCGCTTCGGTTTAATTTTGCTGATTTTGGATCATAAAAAGTCATAACTGTAAATTTTATACTTATTTATACTTATTATTTATTACTGAAACAATAAATCTACTAACCCGTATACCTACTACAAGGAAGAGAAAGATACCCTCATCTTTTTCGACTAATAGCAGGTAACGAACACTGCTGGTACTTACAATTTGTGCATCTATATTTCTATCGCTATTTAACAATTTCTAGGCTTTGTTCCTCTTTTATTACTTATCAACACCACTGTAATTTTTTTAAGATTCATGAAACAATCGATAGTATCGTAATAAAAAAGAGACAAGCTCTAGGAACTGTTTAAATAGACACAAAGATTCACAAATTTTATAAAGTACGAGCAGTGTTCGTTATTTGCGACTAGTCGAGAAAGATAAGGGTATCTTTCTCTTGCTTATGGTAGGTATACGGGTTAGTAGATGTTCCAGTAATAATTAATAAAGTAAATGATTTATTGTTTTTAAATTATAATCCAAGTTAGTAGTTAGGGATGTGGGATGGTCTAGTTTTAAGTTTTAGGAAAATGCCAAGAGTGGTTCAGTATAGGAAAGAGTAGTAGAGGTGCGTGTCTAATAAGTTTTGACCATATGATAATAAACTTTTCTGTTAAAAAACATTAAACATTTAAATACTTATTTACTTATATATTTGTACCGAAATATTCTATACAAATAATATTTACCTGCATTTATTAATTTACTATTTATTAATACATACACGACTTTTGAATGACGAAACCTTTCCCGATTCCGCAACAGAAATTAGACAACCGTAAAGCAGTTTTACATTTTATGCATAATATAAGAGGTTTCCTGGAAAATAAGGCAAAGATTCAATTCGACTTCTTCCTCAGATGAAGAAATATTACAGAGAAAATAATGAGAAATGCTCTGTAGTTGCCGGAGGAGCAAAGCAATTAATCTTAAATCGCGACTGCTACCATTCCTTTAAATTAAAACATAGTTCTCATTCAGCGTTGGAATTCTACCAATAAAAGCTCTCTTGACGTTTCTTTATTTCGGTTACATTTCATCGTCCGCCATCCAATAATACGACGTACATATTTGTTAAATTTATGAGCAACAAATTCATTCCTGTTGTGTACAATGTACAAAATTGTCTTATTTTGATTTTCCACTTTCGTAATTACGATTATATTCAAGCATTCCTGATTTTATAAGAAAATTCTTTTCATTACTGAAAGCAAATTATGAAATTATTAATTTGTTGTTTACTTGTTGTTTACTTCACCATCAATTTACTTTGAACATAAGAAGAAACCTAAATTTTACTAATGCTGCAATTGTTCCTATGAAATTAAGTTATATTTAGCGAGAATTGAAGATATCACGTTATTATTCACCACAGTGATATACGGAGAAAAACAAATGGTAATGATTACTATAAAGATAAATATGGAAAAAAAGATGTTAGCTATGATGATTGGAGTAAGTTGTAAGTAAGTATACGAAAACTGTAGTAAATTATTACTGGTGACAATTATGGAAAAGATGGGGAAAAAATATGGATAATTCTTTTGAAAATATCCTTTAAATCAATTATTAAAGTCGGATAAAATTTAAAACTCTAGATCACTAATTTTCAACCACTGTGCCGCTGCACTTTACTGTCCCGCGAGATTCTTGAATATGCCGCCAAATTTTACGGATGTATATGTTAGGAGCGAAGACCGAAAACGCTCAGTAGCCGGAAAAAACGGCCATATCGCGTTCTGGCTGCCTTCGAACGCACAAAACGCGGTTTGGCTGTTTTTAAACGCTCGCAACGCGTTCTGGTAACTGTTAAACAGCCGGAACGTGTTTTGTCAATTGTTGAACGCTCACAACGCGTTCTTAATGTTCGACTTGTATTATTTGCCGCTTTCTACCTGGTACAATGAGATTTATATTGTAAGTACTTATAAAACAAATGAATTTCAATCCATTTTTCAGTTTTTAGGAGACAATTCAATTATTGACAACTATAATTGGATACCAAAGATGGGTTCGGTTTTTCTCGCCGAACCATTTCAACAATGTTAAATTTCTTATAATTGTTTTTCAGTTCCAGGAAGAAAGTTACACTGAACACTTATATTGTTGAAATGATTCGGCGAGAAAAACCGAACCCATCTTTGGTATCCAATAATAGTCGTCAATTATAGTTGTCAATAATTGAATTTACGCAGGTAGAAAGCGGCAAATAATACAAGTCGACCATTAAGAACGCGTTGTGAGCGTTCAACAATTGACAAAACACGTTCCGGCTGTTTAACAGATACCAGAACGCGTTGCGAGCGTTTAAAAACAGCCAAAACGCGTTCTGTGCATTCGAAGGTAGCCAGAACGTGATGTGGCCTTCGGGCCTAACATATATACTAAAATAGCGGAGGAGACATTTGGAGAATGGTTTTTGTTGCCTGCTTATGCATCGAGAAAGAAATGTACAGTGGTATAACCTACGTGTAGAAGTTATAAGGAGATACAATCAATACAATCATCAATACAATCAATTGTATATCCCTCATTTCATCCTATCCCAATGGCCGATATACAGCAGGGGTGCGTTCGTTTTTGAAAGAATTCCGAGAATTACGTCCGAGCGTCCGTTTTTACGGTGACAGTAACGTAAATAGGATAAATTATTTGAATTTCAAAAAAAATTACTTTATGGAAGAATAAAACACAAGAATTCATAAAACAGTTGTTGATCATTTGACAATACTAGAGCAAAGAACAGTTCAATCTTTTCCGAATTTAAAAATAAAAAAATTTGATAGGGTTCGAAATCTATTTGTGATAAGTGACACGTCAGTGTATGAAAGAAGAGGAAGAATTAATTAATTAATTAATTACGGTGTGTAATAACCGAGATTTAATTCCAAAACATTCAGAAGAATCAACAAATTCTTTCTGGATTAATCTTAGATTCGATTATCCTACAATATCACAAAAACCTTTAAGTGTTTTATTTTCTACATCTTATTTGTGCGAATCCGTATTTTCTGTTTTGACCAATATAAAAACGGAAAAAAACCCAGACATTTATTACATTACATTCTGACTTCAACTCTGCAACTATTATTTCTCAGATTGGTTCATACAGATTATGCCGATGACGAAAACGAAATTTCTCAACAATTTTACTGTAGGAGTAGAATTTACTGCATTCAATTGTGATGGTTGCATTTATGATTAAGGCGTTATAAATTCACCCTCGACATACAGACGATGTTTGTCCTGCATATCACACTACCCTAAACTTATTAACCCGAGAAAACCTCCAAACAGCTTATAGCATAAAGTAAACTAAATCAGGGCAGGAAGGTCGACTTGGGCATCGTATCTCTACATCCCTCCGTTTAAAACTCATCGACTTGGTAAAATTCTATTTAGTTTGTAGCGTATCTGCCCTCCAGGCTAAATTAGAAACTATCAGGAAGAAGATATCATTAAAGCCAGACCAAGCCATGTGGCAAAATTTATAATCATTACAGACGCAAACTTCGTAATGGTAACGATGACGTTACAATTTTGTAACTGGATAACTGCTAGTCTAGCAATGTTGGCGATTGCTTTAAGAAAATTTTAAGACGCAGCTGTTCAAAAAACGAAAAGTTAAGACCTATTCTATTTTTATGTCCCAATAATTCATCCAACTTCGCAGTAAGTAGGTGAGAGCACGCAATGTAATAAATTTAACGTAATAGTTTGAATGTTGTGCGAACTTTTTCGATTGAAGTAATAACTTTTAGAGTTTAATGTCGGAACTACCAGACGCGGATACTTCAGTTGCAGCGAATACCCACCAGATGGCGGTACATTGGACATCTAATTTTATTATTATTCAGAGCAAAGACAAGAAGTTATTTTGTGTTAGGTATATGTATAACATCAATAAGAAAGTAAAAGATAATTATTTCCAGACATGTATTCCAAGTGACCCAATCTGTTTAAATTTCTTTCTAAGCACAGTAAAATGGACTACACAAAAATTATAATAATTAAAGTCACAACAAAACTGTCGTTTTACGTGGTGATTTTTACTCAAAAAGAAAATTTTCTGGTGAAAAAGTGTTGTTTAATTAAAATTTTAAAAAAGATTCACTATAATTAGTAGTCGTCCTATAAAATTCTATTCACTGCGGAAGCTTTTTAAGTTTTCTTTTCGGAATTTCAAACTGTAAATTCCTTTATTTTATAATTGTTTTAGTTGCTGATTTTACCAGGTATTTAAAATCCGGTCGGACTACATACCTACCAAAGTTGTTATACGCATTTAAATTTATCACTTTATCATAAATTGCTGAATTCTGAGAACCTGTATCACGGTTTATAGGTTTTTACAAAGTTCTGAAATGAAGGAGTTACCGTAGTATTTGAGTAACTAATTGTATCAATAAGATAAAGTAGACTATATTTTATTTCACAGAGACTTTCAACCACTGACTAATGAGGGTTACTGGCAGGAGGCTGTTCCAGAAACCACAGGATCACTATGCGCCGCTACTGATCCTGCTGCAGATTTTCGATGGCACGGATTATCCTGTGGCGGACCTGACGTAGCTTCCTTTATATGCGAACTTCCAGGTATTAAAACAGGTTTAAGAAGTATTGAAATGAAATTTGAAAATAGATCTGATAATTTTATATTTTCCTAAAATGTTCAATTACAAATCAAAAATAATCAAAATGTTTTTCTTCTTTTAATTATTATTTATATAATAATAAATATTAAAGATACTTTTTGAGTTATTATAAATATTCTTCTTTCGCTACTTGCAAAATTTATTCGTAAAATATAATATATTTTTTCAGTGCCAAAATGGGCATTGGGCACAGGAGGATGTCTTATCACAGAACTTCCATCGTTGACTGTTTTGTACGTTCCAGAACAATCTGCAGTGGAATTAATATCAGACTGTGGACTAGATGGTACAAAACAGATTGCTTGCAAAGGAAATACTGTGAGTACATAATAATACAAGCAATTATTGGCGTAAATAGAAGACAGTTCGAAAATAAAAATTTCGTACCATGCGATACAAAATTTGGTAGCGAGTTTTGAAAAAACCTAACCTAACCTAAACTAAATTTTCAGTATAAAGAAGCATCTAAAGTTTATATTGTTAATTTACAAGATTCTATAGGGTTGTTCGGAAAGTCATTTCGTTTTTTTTTTTGTGAAAATGAAAGACAGTTTTCGTATAATAAACAAATACTTTATTAAATTATATAGTGACCGTTCTGGTCCAACAGCTTTTGCCATCTTTCTGGTAGTAGCATGATTCCACACTCATAAAATTTTTGGTCATTGCTGGCAAAAAACTGATCGAGGAGGGTTTTGACCTCCTCATTTGAGGTGAAGGTTTTACCGTCTAAAAAATTTTGGAGTGACCGGAACAAATAATAATCCGATGGTGCCAGGTCTGGAGAATATGGTGGGTGTAGCATTGTATCC